CTGGTCCGACGCGATTCGTTTTGGATTAATGGCCACGTCCTATGACCAATTATCTTGACTCAGAAGATGCTGGAGGTACGGGTATGGACCCCGAAGTCTTATCAGCCACCAAGAAAGCCTTGTTTTACTGGCTACTATCTAGTATTGATCTTACTCAGTCCACTCGATTTATATCAATGATATCAAAATTTGAGAACGGTATTAAAATTACGATACCGTCGCCTTCTTTACTGTGGAAGACGATCCGCGAATATCATATCAGTAATTCAGAGTCGGTCAAACTCATGTTACGAAGCGAAATCACTGATTTGTCTCAAACCTCCTCAAAAGACTTATTAGAATATATCGATATCTTCAGAGCCAAAGTTGACGCTTACCTAGGTTCAAACGGTGAAATGTCCGAAGAAGAACAGGCTCGCCAATTTGTCCGATCACTCAACCAAAGCTGGGCTGAAAAAGGCTGTGATTTATTAGACGCAGGTCATGTCAAATTCCGAAACCTCGAAACCGAATTGAAGAAAACCTACCAAACTCGAAAAATGTTTTCCTCCAATTGGCAACAGTCTAGTCGTATCGCAGAATCTTCCGAAGCCAGTCAAAGCCGCCGGACTGGAAGATGGCAAACTTGCAGTAAGACTAAATGCCTAGGTCAGGACCATCCAACAAAACCTCACGATCAGTTGGAATGTTACCATCACCCTAACAATGCCAGCAAAATGGAGTCATGGAAACGATCCAAACAAGAATCTGGAGAATGGATCGAGTATCCACGTGGTGGCCGTGGTGGAGGTCGTGGTGGTTTTTGTGGTAGAGGTCGCGGTGGCCGAGGTGCTCATCTAGCCAGAGGATTAAATCATCATTCTAATCTTTCTGATTTCCCAAATTCAGAAGAACTCGATATGGCTTTTGAAAATCTCAAACTTGAAGAAAGAGAAGTTAGTTACCGAGTAGAGATTGATGGAAAGTTTTCATGCTCGGCCAATCCTCAAGTAACCTGTGCTGGAGATAAATGTGGTTCAGTCGCTCTGATCGATACCGGAGCTTCGCATCACATGTTTCATGATGCGAGCTTATTCGAATCCGCTACATTAATGGAAATTCCGAGAGATATGGATCTGTAATAACT